CAGTTCTATCTTCTCTCTTTTCTATATCTTCTGATTTGTATTTTGATTGTACTTTTTATATATTTTAATAAAAGTTTTGACCTGAAAAAAAAGAACTGACAATGAAGATATTGAAATGTGGGTAGCTTCTGCCTCTTAGGATCAACTATCAACAGTAAAGGAACAAGCAGTCAAGAAATACGCTGCAGACTAGCCCTTGGGAGAGCAGTCATGAAGGCCTTGGAAAAGACATTCAGATGCCTATACTGACAAAAATCAGAATACTGCAAGCCACGGTATTCCCTGTGACGCTCTATGGAAGTGAAAGTTGCATTTGAAGAAGCAGGCTAGAAAGAATATTGATGCTTTTGAACTTTAGTGTTGGAAAAGACTCCTGAAAATACATGGACAGCCAAGAAAACAAACAAATGGATCATTGGACTAATCAATCCAGAGTTCTCACTCAGGCCACAAATGGCAGGTAGGTAGGTAAGTAGGTTCAAATTATCCTACTTTGGACACATTATGCAAAACTTAGCTCTCTGGAGAAGACTCTAATCTGGCAACAGTGGAAGGAAAGAGAAGAGGATAACCAGAAGCAAGGTGGATGGACTCAGTTATAGTGGTGATGGTGCACCGTTGGAAGACCTGAAGGATTAGGTTAGGGACAGATCGTCATGGAGAAAATCTATGTGGTTGCTAAGAGGCAACACCAGCTTGATGGCACATAAGCAGTCAATAAATCAATCTTGAACCAAATTAATGTGATGATGTGATGATGGTGTCAGCCATCACTCCTGATGTACCAGTTCTGAGTCAAGATTATCCACACTCCAGGTTCCTTCCTAGATGCTCAGAGCTTGTTTCATTGAATTCTACCTGAGGTCACCCTGCAGGACTCCCTTGTACTTTCATAATGATCTAATTTACTGCCCCATGCTACTGGCAGCTGTAGGCAAGTAGGCTCAAACCACCTGCTGCTTGCAACCGCATCTCCAAGCTTTCTTTGGTATTAGCTTTAACACTTCATATGATGGAACAACAGCTCTGCTGTCTTGGCCTCCAGACTGCACTTTTCTTCTCTAATGCTTTATTAAATCTTCCTCTATAGAAGTCTCAAGGCATCCGTAAGATCGAGCTTTTAAGCTGCCTTAGACTTATCACCGTCTTCTTCTCCCTCAACTTGGACTGTTCTGATTCCAGCTTCCCAGCACAGAGATCTTCAGATACAATAGCAAGGCATTTGAGGAAGGTAGCTCTATCTCAGCCTTGCCGAACTGAATCAGGAAACTTTTTTTTTTTGCGTGAGTTGAGTATCTGTTGTACATTGAACCTCCACATCCAACTGCAGCAGACACACTTAACACTTTAGATAAGCAATTTTTAACCTTCTGAGCTGTAGGCAGTGCAACAGCTGTGCCTGGTGAAACCTAAGCAAGATCTTTAGTATCTCCAGATCTTTCATGGAGTAAGATTCAGACTGTATTTGAAACTACCATTGTATTTTCCATATCGTATCTCCTCAGGATTTACTTCACATTTCCTCATTATCCACAGACAAAATTACTACCATGTCATAATTCATCCTGCCATGTTGAGACCTGTGTCCATATGTTCCAAATGCTAAAAGCCACTGTTGAGTTCACAGCTAATGTCACATTGTGGATTTCCTTCTCTGCCTTTTCTAAAAGGCTTTCTCTCATATTTTCCATTAGTTTCATTCCACAGCTGTTGTTTTCTGTCTCACTTGGAGGCATTCAATCCCTTTCTCATTTCTGCAGACACCTCTGACTATAAGACACTCACATAATATGCTCATCTTGGGATTGACCAACAATTCAATTTCCCTTTTAAGTCAGTGGTTTCCCAGAAGTCTCATGACACTCTCTTTAAAAATTTAAAGATAAGTGTTTCCCCATTTTGCCACACAAACAATTTTAATTTTCTTTATTGCACAATCTTCTTTAGATTCTATTTTTAAAATTTTTAAAATTTCTGTTATACTCTCATAAACTCATAGCAGGCCTCTGAAGGACAGAGTGCATGTTCATATTGAACCAATAGCTCTGGTACCAATTTGAGTTTTTGTTTTTTTTTTCTGGTGAAGCAGTTACTTCCCTTTTGGGTATTCTCTAAAACATGAATCAATAATTATTTCAAGCAGGGGTCACCATCATGTGTTTCTGCATGGTCAGAGATGCCAAAAATAAATATATATATTTAAAAAAGCACATCTAATTAAAAGTGTGAGCATGAAACTGAGCAAACTCAGGGAGGCAGTGAAGGACAGGAAGGCCTGGCGCAATATGGTTCATGGGGTCACGAAGAGTCGGACACGACTTAACGACTAAACAAAATTAAAAGTGGCCAAATTATCATGTGAGATCCTGCCAGTTTGGCCTTCTGATGAGATTTCAGCCAGTTTCATTTATTATTTTAAAATGTTACTATAATAACTACCACCACTACTACTACTACTATTCGTATTATTGATAGTCTCCTACCCATTATCACCATCATTATTTTAGAGGCCAGTGGGTTGTTATGGTGCTTATGTGTGCTACCAAGATCCAATTTAAGCTGTTCAATGAAGATCTCAATTTTCTACCTTCTGTGTCTTACAAATATGAACTAGAGTGTTGCTTTTTAAAAACAACTCAGTACAGGTAGTTCCTTGACTTACAACCAATTGTTCAGTGACAGTTCAAAGTTACAATGGTGCTGAATGAATGGTGGTTACAGCTGGTCCTGGAGTTACAGCTGTCCCAGCACCCCCGTGGTTATGTGATCATGATCTGGGTGCTTGGCAACCCATTCACACTTACAACCAGTTGCCAAGCACCCTGCGATCACGTGATCACCATCTGCAAACTTCCCTGCCGGCTTCCCCAGAAAGTCAATGGGGAGGCCAGCAGGGAAGGCCCCAAGTCACTGGGGTAAGTCTCCCCCACCCACGCACCCTCCGCAGCTCCTCTATGCTCGCATCGTGCCGGCCACTTGCGCACCCCCACGTACCCACCCCGCCCTGCGCCCCCGCACACCTTTCCCAACCCCTGCGGCACCTCTCACGTACTGCTGCACACTTTTCCCAACCCGCACAGCCCCTCTTGCGCACCCCCATGCACTCCCCACACCCTCCATGATCCATGCACCTCTTGTGCACTGCTGTGCACCCTCTCCGACCTGCGCCATACCCCCGCACCTCCTCCCCGACCCATGCGGCACCTTTTGCACACCCCCCACACACCCTCCCTGACCTGTGCAGTGCCTCTCGCACAGTCGTGCACCTCTGCACACCCTCCCTGACCCATGCCACTTGAGCACCACCTCACACCCTTGCACACCCTCCCTGATCCTCTCTCAACCACCTGCACACCCTCTCCCTCCTTCCCCACCTGGCAGCAGCCACCTGCCTGCTAGCCTGGCACTTGCAACTTTCTGCCAGCTTCCCCACTGACTTTGCTTGTGGGAAGCCGGCAGGAAGTTGCCTCACCTAACGATCATGGGATTCAGTTAATGACGGCAACTGGGACTGCAGGGATTGCCGTTGCTAAGTAATGCAGTCACGTTTTATGACTGCCTCGCTTAGCGGTGGAAATTCTGGTCCCAATTGTTGTTGTAAGTCAAGGACTACCTGTATGTTTATCTTTGTGCATTTTGCTGAAAAATTAGGTAATTGGAGTATTTCCCAGAAAGAGAGTAAGTTGAGTGGACTTTGCATTTATAATTAATGAGTTTGGACTCTGACTACTTCCTTTCCTATATTATTCTTAGAAAAATTAATATTCTCCAAAGCAACTGTTGTTTCCTTTGGATGTGCTAACCTGTTCATGACACATAATGCTCAGTGACAAGGAGAGGTAGTTTGGTAATCAAACTTGAGTGTAATTGACAATATTCTTTTGTATTAAGAACTGACATGAACTGAATTAACACCATGAGTTAACTAACAAATATACATAATAAATGAAAGACAACAAGGAAACTGTATACAAAATATGTGAAAACAGTGCCTTGATCTCATTAAAAACAGTGAGAACAAAGCTTGGTTAAAAGCAGCAGTGCTAGGTTTTGGTGATATGGGAGGTAGGACATGCTACTGGGGAACAGGGCTTAATACTTTCCTCTGTGCCATTTCCCCATGTGGTAGCCCCCAAAGATGCTATAGGCTCTGGAGAGGGAAAAAAGGCATATCCTGTTCACCATCATCTTCCACCTACATGGCTTTGTTGGGTGTGATGATGATGCCAAAGATGGTCTGCCTTCCCTCTAATTCACATCTCTTTTCTCCATTGCTGTTTTTAAGTAACAAAAAGCCAAAGGAAATAATTTAGGGAGATCTACCCTTGGGCAGTAGCCTCTCATACCATGTTTGTTTACCTCCCTCCCTCTGCAAACCCTGGTTGTTCCATGCCCATTCCCCCTCCTCTTTTGGATGTCCTCTTCTCTCTTTCTTCCCATTTCCAAAAAGAAGAGCTGTGGAAGGACCATTAGATTGAAGAGGTACCTGTCCCTATCTCTTGACTATGGCCATAGTATGTCTGAAGTGGCAGCATCCAGCAAAAATAATTCTTCATGGTTTAGTTAAATGCAGCTGCGAATCCAGTTCCAAAGTAGCATTTCTTGCACATCACTTCCGCACAGATCAACCTCAATCGTCAATGGCCATGGCCAGAGGAAAAGTATGCTGGATAGCCCTAGAGATCAGAGACGCACAACCAGGTCATCATCACTGCACACAGCCCCATAACAACCCATATTCCTTTAAAGGTGACCTCTGAATTGCCTGACCAAAGGGCAAAATTATTAAATACGGAGGAGAATAATCACAAGAATCGTATTTAATTCAGTTTAGGGTTAAATTTCCATTTAAATTAAATAATGTCATGCTGAGTTTTTGCCCTAGTTATTTCTTTTTCCTGTCCCACTCACTTTTTGGATTGTGATCACTTGCGTTGTTGACCCCAAAAATGTTAGGCATGTAAGCCAAGTTCCATAATCCAGTGATGCTCTCCCTGGATGTCTTATCTTACCATGACCAGCCCTTTGGTGATCTGCTCCGAACAGCCGTGGCACAGTTCCCCAAAGTGGGCCCAGTAATCCTTCTTGCAGTAGAGACGACCATCCTTCTCGTAGTACTGATGGGAAAGCAAAGCCCCACATTCGCAGCACCTGCAGTGACAGTAAGAAAATAAGTTTTCATTCTCAGGACTTTCAGTGGAAACCTACCGGATGCAGAGCTTCCAAAACCAGAGCTTGAAGGATGCATAACCTCACAGGTTCAGATGGCTTGCGTTCGCCCAGCATGCTTAATCTAGACAGCTACTAATTTAGTCATACCAAATTACTGTTGCATCTGGCAGCACATGTTTGCTAGGTTAAGAGCCACCAACTTGGGAAAAAGAGAAACCTTGTCCAGTTCCTCCAGTACTGCCTTGTTCCTGTGCAACCCAGGTGTGCTGGTGTTGTCTTATAACTTCAATGGCCATTTCTCTATTGCTTATACAGGGATCAGTGAGCACACCTTGGACTATTCAGCTGATTAGTGCTTAAGAAGGATGTTCTATGGTTGCCAAGCCTTGGCAGTGAGTTTTTAAATTGGAGCACCTTCTTTTTTCCCACTACTATCTACTTCTATGGTGTTTCCTTGGAGGACCAACTGAGTAGTGCAGGAAGACTAGCCTAGAAGTGACTATGTTTCTGGGTTCACACAGCACATCCTGACTGGAGGAAGATGTGTTGACTAAGGAATTATCCAGAATACTTTGGAACTAGAATGGTTCCCCTTTAGACCCTGAGTTAACTATGTTTTGGGGTTCACCCAGCAGGCTCATCTTGAAATGACCCAGTTGTGCTGTGTCAATGTAGCTTCTGAGTGCAATATTTTATATCACATAATGAAATGCTCTGCAGGCTAAGGGGGAGCAAATTTAAATGGCTAAACCCACACTTCCCTAGGCAAGGGGCAGTGTGAATTTAGCCATTGTCAGATGATTAAGCCCAGTCTTCCCCATTGTGGATTGCTACAGCTCTATTTTCTTGGACATTTTAATAATCCAACTGGGACACCCAGAGAGGATTGCATACTGGTACAGTCCAATCCTGGTCAAAGTAGGAAGCATTGCAAGTCTACATGCGTGTGGCCCTGATACAAAAAAGCCATTTATCTAGGATGGAAATATTTTGTTGCTGACCTTTCCTTTCAGCTCAATGGGAGAAGGACTCCATTCCAATAAGAAAAAGGAACTCCATTCCTCTCTATATCCTTTTTCCAAAAGTGACCTGCCAGATGCCTCCATGAAGCAGAAGATATGACGGCAGATATGAGACCGACAAAAGAAAATATTTCTTCATTCATTAATATAACTAATTCGTGGCCACAAATTATAGGGGGGACTTCAGATAGCTTTATATGGGATTTGGAGAAATACATTGAGGTCAACCCAACATATAAGACCCAACATATAAGGTGGGAAAGAGGAACCTCAATATTTAGAAAAAAAATATAAAGGCTAGGGCTATTCTGTTTCCATCCTTTTTGTGAGTATTTTAGGTGGGAGGAGCCAGACATGTAGAGCTGCTGGGGATTTCTCCTGAAGAAAAGAGAAATGACACAGGAGATTCACTTCCTATTTAGATCTGGTTGGTTGCAAAGCCTCTGTTTTTCTTCTCATAACACGTGATGCACCGCAAGAATCCTGTTAAAGCCACAGCAGCTGTGGGCAATTCCATTTCTGGAAGAAGCTCTGTGTCATGAGGGTAAAACTGAGATCACAGTCAGAATCTCTTCTAAAAATACAAAAGAAAGGGCAGCCTCATCTTCTCCACCCAGTTGAACCATTGTACCTATTCATAAAACCCCCAGGATTTTTTGGGGCAGGAAGTGGCAATGCGGTTTATGGATACCAAGCTACCTATGGACCTTATGCTGATCTATGACCATAATAAAGATTGTTTTATTTTGATTTGATTTACCTGTGGTAACCCGGAACTCTTTAGCCTGCCCCCCCACAATTATTTTTTTAAACTAGCTGAAATCTTACAAGACTACTAAATCTTGAAAGAGTTCAGTTCTTTTGTGATGTATTATGATATTTCAACCAAGAATGCAAAAGATTTCAATATTCTCCCATAAGATCATTGAAGTTCTCAGAGATTTGTGATTTAGATTTTGGCAATACAAAATACAGTACCCACGACACAGACATACACAAGTAAGTAGTTTTTCAACCTTGGTAACTTTAAGATGCGTGGACTTCAACTCCCAGAATTCCCCAGCCAGCATGCTGGCTGGGGAA